AGGAGATCGTTGTGCAGTGAGCGTGTCAGTAGGCAGGATCTCACGACAGTGTCCCAGCCGATTCCAGCCGAAGCGAACTTGACACACACGTTCTCGCATAGTCTGAGGATTATCCGGAGTCCAGATGTGACTCTTGTGGACGTTGAACATACCGTGCGCTCGTAAAGCATGCGTCATCTGTCCACAGAGCGTTGATGTATCAGTTCGCAAAGCTGCATCTATAGAGGACGATTGTCTGGCAACAGATGGCCGCTCCACGAGTAGTGGTATGGATACGGTTGATCGTCATGAAGTACCTCGATGACCCTTGGTTGGGCTAGGCCCGGTTCTCATGCCATGTCGCGTGAGCTTCTCCTCGACTCTCGTTCCTCAGCTGCAGTGGCGACTTCATTGGCTGGGGGACCTGCATTCACGTGTGCCATAGGTGTTAACAATTGTCAAAACACTTGAGCGTCTGGTTGACGACTGCTAGGATAACGTAGCCCGTATTCCCATGCAGCAGTACCAGCCCAACTGTTAGAGCATGCAAGTATTGCAGGGTCGATGTGTAGTTCAAGAGATATTACAACGGCCGATCGTGAACTAAGGTTACAGGGTCTGTCATTAACTTGCAGGAAGTGTACAATGTATGCGAAAAAGGTCGTAGATTGAGTGCCAGTAAAAGGAAGTGTCTGAAAATATCGTGGATTTGTGAACACGTTAATGGCCTGCAAGATTAAGGAATTTCTTCATCGACCATTTAGTTCTAATCGTTCAGTAAACATCTTTCCCCACAGAGTTGGTTGTGGTAAACCGTGAGAATTTCGATTCCCTTGTTTTGTTCATGACAGAACACATGTTGTGAGTCACAGACCGCGTGAGAGAATGTATATGTCATGGACCTGTTACTTCCTGTCCGGTCTAGAGACCCGAGTTTAACGGCCGTGGGGATCCGTTGCGCTGACCACGTGACACCCTCTGTCCGCAAAAGTTGACACTAACTTCGCCGACAAGCGGCGGTCGGTATAGTTCGCTTGCGGACTACATGCCACGGAGTTACTTCCCGTTTGACATTAGCGTCCTCTGGGAGTAAAATAAAGTATATCGAATTTGTAATACTTGTGCACGCAAGGAAAGGGACGACCTTTTATTGCATTTAGTGACTGATTACGAATTTTACTTAGCGCAAAGAAGATATGTGGGCCAAATATTTATGGGCTGTATGAGGAGTGTGCAAAATTACGTATTTATGAATGTCGTGATGTATACTTCTGCCTTAACTCTAGGCATAGGAAAGATCTGTGTTATATTACATGAATGACTAAGGAAATGCACGAACATGAGGATTCTAGTAGTGCTTGTTAACTTCGTAGTACCGGTAGACTAATTCCCGTTCCACGGATTACAAATCAACCACGTCAGTGTTTCAGTGGCGCATTATCACACCTGACTCATGCCATATAGAAGGGTCACTACATACGCTTTTGATCAGTTATTGAAATTAATTGCTATGTCCGCGGTTCCCAGATTTCTTCAGGTTTAGATCCTCCTGTCTGGAACTGACACTGCCCTGCCATTTTTTCATGTACTGCGGTCCGTTTGCGGGCATCGTCATAGAAAATTTTAGATTTCCAAAGAAAGAAACAAATGAATGAACTCTCACGGAGAACATGAAGGCTTGCCGCCTACTTCTCTCTCCCTCTCTCTATTTTTTGCTTGGTTTACTCTTCTACCCTGAAGATAAAAGCGATATGTTACTCCGAAATGTCTGGCTCTTTGCTAACCACACGGCGTTACAATCCAGGAGACATTATCTCTTCCCTAAGTAGCATAGATTCCGAAACATTGCTTGTATTATAACTGTAGCCTGTTACGGGGATAAATGCATGTATTAACGTTCATAACCAAACCCAGTGCAGGAAACGTTAAGTACCGGAATCCCTTATTTAAACACACATTTCCCTCAAACTCTGTCACGAGTGAGAAGGTGTAATCAAGGGGGGGTACGTATATTTTATGATTTTGTTCTTGCCGTTGCATTTATATGCAAATAATGTTATGTTCATTTATTTTAAATATATATATACTGTGGCAGAGCTAATCACGCTGCACGCGGTCAGTACTGAAATCCCTCACCAACCGCGGGAGTATTTTTTTTTAACCAGTTTGATCTATTGTGCTTCCCTCTATGATATTCTACCAGTCTCTATACCCTACCGATAAATGGTGCGTACCATCAGTCCCGCCGAGCAAGCGAGTTCGGCCACTTGCTTAGCGGTGTCTATAATGATTCCCCCATCTATCAGAGGCCTTAGAGACTATTGTTGGGCGGGAAACGTCCTGAAATTTGGTTCAGTGATCCCCTTTGGGGATATGAGGTTCTTTTACGTGCCGTAAAGTTACGACACGGGACACACAGCTTAAAGTCCCTCCCGGAGGACTTGTTCCCTGAATTTTTCTGCCCTTAAAAATTCGACGACCTCCGCCGGGTATTTGAACCCGCGTACCACGAGTCATGAGGTGGGAACGTTACCTCTGGACTACGGAGGCAGCTAACCACGGGAGTAACTTCGCAAGCCGGCAAACCGACGCCTTGAGGAAATCCGCTGTTAGGAGAACCGCGAATGCTGTTTAACATTGGTCAAAAAAGATACAACATTTGTGTTCGGGAAAAAAAAAACAAGGGAGCGACCACTTGGGAGATCCAGGCGCAGATGGGAGGATAATATAAAAAATACCCCTACCTGAATATGGTGCGAGGATGTGGATTGGATTAAACTAGCCTTTAGTGTACGGCCCTCCAGCAAATGTATAGCTGTTGGTACATAAGACACAGATTTATACATCTATACGTAAATTAAAGTCCGTTTATGCATAAAATGTGCCGTTTGCAAAGCCGGATGCAGGTGGAGTGCCAGGGATATTTAAAATTCGCAATTGGCAAAGAATTACTGTAGCTTTTTTGTTTGTTAGCGGTATATTGAAAAAATGTTTCTCATAGAAATTCATCTTAGTGAGATTTGTTTTTAAGCCATGTCTTAGTTTTCATACAGTGAGGTTCTTTTTCGTTTTCAACAACAAATGTAATAAAAATCTATAGAGTTTTTGAAAATAAATGGACGGATCCAGTTTACTTTGTGCACAGAACACATTAAAATCATGTGACGACATGTGGTGGACATTGAGAGGTGGGGGGGCCGCAGGCTGATACCCCGGTGTTTGTTAGCATGACACTTGTACACTCAGACTTGGCAGTAGAGTGGTCTTGCAAATTCCCGCAGGAACTGCATGGACGAAACGTTTCGGCAGTAAAAACACGAGACATTCATGGAAACACTGGGGGAGGGGAAAGGTGCTTCGATATGGTCAGTCAGTGGGGAGAAATACGCTTAGAAATGGTCTCCTTGCGCAGAAGAGGTCAACAAGATACACATATGATAAACTAGCCTGGCTTCTTGCTCCAGCGGTTACTCCTCATATTGCCTTCCTTACGGAATGTCTGTAGCGGCCAAACAGTTGAGCTCAAGATGAGAACTCTTGTATACATGAACCTTGCATGAATTCCTGTTAAATAGGTACGTCTGCGTCTGTCTCTACAGCCCTCTGTTGGACCTTGGTCGCTTTTTCAGTCTCGTGATCCTATACACAGTCGGTAAGATTCCATAGACTGGGGATCAGCCCGTCGCAAAGCCGCTGCCTACACATAGAACAACACAAACACAAAATAAACGCACACAGGTATCCGTGCTTGAAGTGGGATTCGAACCCATGCCTTAGACTGCGCGGCCACTGTGATCGGCGTTAAATAGTTACTTGTTTCATGTAAACCAATAGAATTTTACGAAGCACATTTATGAAATATACGAGGTCATTCCTAAGTAGAGAGGAAATGTTTTCCAATTGCGTTCTTTGTAATTTGTCATCTCACTGATTGCTAGGCGAAGCTGATCGCACTACGGATATCAAATAAACAGTCAGCTATCAGTTTATCTTCAGTATTCAGCGTGTAGAAACTAACTACATGGATCAGAATCCTTCTTGAGAAGATAGTAGTTGCTCAGATAGTAAAAGAAATTCCAGCATTCTGTGGAACCGCTGTAGTTCATTGCTTGTCCACAAGAGTCCGCCACTGGTATCTGTCCTGAGTCCGGTCTACACTTTCCCATTCTTTTTGTTTGAAATCCAAATAAATGTTAAAGCTTAAAGGGATGTCTGTATCATGTAGAGATATTTTGCAGTGTGTTCTACTCTAGAAGTTAGTAGGTTTAGGTTTTAGCTCCATGTAAAATAGGGTTCATTGTGGAGAGTTACAAAGGTAAGGTAAAGTATCCCTATCGACAGTCGGCTCACAGATGGCGGTAAGGTTGTTAGCCTTACGCGCCGGCCGCCATTTACTCCCCAGGAAGATTCCTGGTAACTGATATCTGTTAGAGGCTGGGTCGACCCCCCAGGGCCATAGTGCGGCTGGAAGCATTAGATGAATTGAAGAATCCACCTCGGAACTCGAACCCGCGACCTTCCGGCTTGTAGCATAGTGCCTCAACCAACAACGTTATCGCGTGCTCCCTGGAGAGATATAAATAAAAATTAAATTAGCACATTTTAGCATTATTCGTAATAGTATATTTATTCGAAAGCCTTTCATTATCTTCGGGAAAAAAAATATTGTTCCATGAAAACAAGGAATTTCGTGGCAATTTTTTTTCAAGAAAGATCCTGCTCTATGAATTTCGTTGTGCTTACATCTACATTCCTGAAACGTCGAAATTGTGTCAGAAACCACAAATCTAAGCAGAACGCTTCATCCGATGATGTAAAACCTCGTGTAGCACATTGCGATGTGGAAGTATTCCTGAGGACCTTGTGAATTTAGACAATTGTTATCATGGTTTAATCCAGTCACATGCTGTGTGCTATAAGGGCCGTAATTGCCGATCCCTACACTTTAAGGTGGGGAGCTGAGATAATCTAACGTGCCTCAATGTACGGCGCTATCAGCTTGCTTTATTGACGTGTTTCAGATAGAACTGGCCTCTCTTCGCGACCGTAAGACGCAGCTTCTACAAGTGAATGTTGCCGTCCATCGCTTTCTCACCGATACCGGCCATCCTGCAGCCGTCCTTAAGGACGACGTGGCTGAACTCTACCGGGTGTGGGATGAAACGTTTCAAACGTAAGTACCGCCTTCATTTCATGATATGTACCTCCTCGAACTCTGAATTCATTTACATGCACCGGTATAGATATTCCAGTGTATGAAAAATGCATATTACATTTCTTTGTAAGCCTAAAACTCTTGATCAGTCCGAAATGGTGTATATATTCTTGCCTCCCTTCTCGTTGCGCCTTCATCCCTCATCTGTAAACCTCCCTGTCCAGACAACTAAGATGCTTCCTGTATGGCCGTCGAGGAGAGGGCAAGTGATAAATTATTTGCACAAGATGGTGGTGATCGTGATGGTGCAACAGTGTGAGGAAACAGAAAAGAGAGCAGAGGATCGTAATAATGAAAGCGAGTGTCCGGCTGACATGGGCTGAGGGGGGGGGGCACTACAGAAATGCCTTCGGCAGTAAACGGGGATGTGCATTGGCATGGCAGTGGCCATGGCGTATGTTCACCAGACTTCATTACTTGCGTCAATATTGACTTTCGGGGCTGCTGCTTCCACTGCTATCGCCGACAGGTCCGATGCTGCTCTGCCTCGTGTCTGAGGACAGGAAGATGTCTTGAGCAGGGTTGTGTAGATGGCGCTAGCTAACTTACTGCTACACTGCACCAATAGGGGTGACCAGAACTCTCCTGTCGTGCGATCTAAGAGAGAATAAGAAACAGGAGATCTCTTAAGACAGGGTTGTGAGACGTCGAGGCTGTCACATTTTCTTGACAGTCGGCTCACAGATGGCGGTGAGGTTGTCGCCCCTATGCGCCGGCCGCCCTTTACACCCAGGAAGATTCCTGGTACTCATTTCTGTTGGATGCTGAGTCGATCCAAAGGTCATAGTCCGGCTGGAAGGATTAGGTTAATTGAAAAACTCAGTGACCTCATACGAAATCGAACCCGCGACCTTCCGTCTTGTAGCGTGGTGCTTCAAGCAACTACGCTACTGCGTGCCCCTCGTAAATAGTTCTGATAATATACGCTTAAGCGATTAATCTGATCAGTAAACTGTCACTGAAGCTTGACGCTGGGGAACTAGGCGTAGCAGCACCAAGAGTCAGCATTGGGACTTATAAACATGCCATGATCACCATCAATTTTTTTTTGCCTAAGCTGGCCCATCCACTCGACCAAATATTTCCTTATCGACGTTGTCAGTAGCTCACGCAAACCCTTTGTTGGTCGAATGATAGGGTCGGTTAATGAATAAAGAATTGTAAAAATGTTCAAAGAATCGGTCGTGGTGTAAACTGTAACACCGCTCTTTTCGAACCCGCCTTTGCTTGTATCGGCGCAGTAGGAATGGCGCTATCCCTGCTACACCTGTTTCTACCTTAGGACAGTGTGTGATGGCTACTGGAAGTTGTCCTCACAGATCAAACTAAGGAAGATCGGTATAGGTACGGGAAACTAGCTGGGTCGGTTCGCATGAGTCTCAGGGTAGCGATGCCGAAGAAAGCGTTTTTCTGAGAGTTGAGCCAATTGACGTTTATTCACTTGCTAATTCACCACACTGTTAAATTAATGTATTCTTAGCTTTAAGTTACATCGTTACACTATCGGCAAGCTATGTCTCGGAGCGTGCAAGGGTCACGTCCGTTCAGTTCGGAATATTGTGAAAGTCTCCCTTTTGTGGAATGGCTTGCACCCCCACGCCGGGAATTCGAAAGATGGTGTTGACATATACATTTCAACCCATCTTCGGTGGGAAGCTTGAACGAGGCAACCCAATCATACTGGCCCTCATTCACAGGCAATTGTAACAAGCTCTGACCTGTCCTTTTAGGCGCGTCCGGTTCCCTGTACCCGAGCTAAATTTATGACTGATCGTAAATGTCATAACTCCGGACTTCTTGTTTCTGCCAGAATCTAGAAATTTTCAACATAAACACCGTATTGCACGTCCCAGACGATGAAATACGATATTATCGATCACAATACATTTCCAGTAATATCGAAACATAAGACTTTTGAATTTAAAATTACCGAGAATTAATTAGAAATAAATTTCATGGTCATCTATAATCATCCAAATAAATAAGGGCTCAGAATGATCAGCGTCAACTGAGATACTATCCCAGAATTTTCTGGAGGAATTGAAGAAAAGGCAGGAAACCTCAGTCAAGATAGCCAGCCTCTGAACCGAGATTTGAACCGGGAGCCTTCCTAATACGAAGCAGGGGGCTCTTTTGTACACGTTAATGAACCGTCGGGTTCCATAAAATGTTGGTAAATTCTTGAGTAGCTGTGCAACTGGCGGTTTCTCAAAAAGAGCTTAGTTCCATGGAGTTAATTTTTACAAGAATAAAACAAAATCAGGAGGGTCACAGACATACGGAAGAGTTCAGGAAGTCTTGCCATCGGTATATGAACGCGAAAGGAACAAAAGTGTGGAGCCTCATACTCTTCTGTGCGGCGTAGAAATCACCGTTCTTATAATTTTTCTTTGTAGTTTTTTTTTCCCTGGCACTACAGCCCCAGTGTGCCTAGGCCTACCTCCATGAACTTCTCCGTTCACTTCGGTTTTTCTAGATCTTACACATTCGATAGGACTCCTTGGGCGGGTGATCAGCTCGTCGCAAGGCCTCTACCTGTACACAAACACAGAAAAACGCACACACACAAACTAAACATCCATGCCCCGAGTGGAATTCGAACCCACGATCACGGCTTCCAAGCGATCGAAGACAGTACATGCCTTAGACCGTTCGGCTACCGTGACCGGCTTACTTTGTAGTTAGCCCTGTAAATAAGGAACGCAGCCATTAAACTTATGATATGCATTTGATGCCACCGTAGCTATGTACGCCGTACTAAATCCAGTCTTCGTTTGGAAGACGAGTGGGCAGCTCAGCATAACCGGACACCTGTGACCCTTCTTCTCACGTTTACTGATTTCACCTCTACTTCGATGAAAGTAATTAGTTTTCTCTGTACTCTTGTCTTCTTATTCTTTTCTGGTACGTGGGCTTCCAACTGCCCAGTCTTGCTCCGCGATATATGCCGGAGGAAGCATTTGCAAAATTACTCCCCTCCCTCCATAACAGATTTATATGAAAACAATCACAGCCGCGAATTTGACAGCGCAGTTTTCTTAAGGAACATTCAGTGCTATGTTAACTGCACTGAGAGCGAAGTGATAACTGCACAGGACTTCAAGAAGTCCTACCGTCTGTAAAAATGATCAAAATGAAAAAAAACAACCTCGACACCGTAGGGTATAAGAGGAACGGATTAAGTAAGTAAGTAAGTAACGTCATAGTATTACTTTTTTTATTGCTATTGGAGTGGGACTAAGTCCCTTGTACTGCGCCCAATTCTGGCTTGTTGTACCAGCCCAAGATGATAGGTGAGGGTGATTGTGGAGCAATTGGTGAATGAAGATTGGCAGGGGAAACCGAAGTACTTGGAGAAAACCTGCCCCAGCGCCACTTTGTCCACCACAAATCCCACTTGATCAGAGCCGGGATCGAACCCGGGCCGTCGCGGTGGGAAGCTAGCGACTAACCGCTTGAGCAATGTCGCGGCCTACATCAGAGTATGTATGTACTATGAGTGTGAACGGTGACTTGATAGTGCCCCGGAAATACCTTGTAATAACATATTTCAGCATGAACTAGAATTTGACTGGTGGGACGGAGGGAACCACGAATCATCTCAAACTACCAGTTTGTGGGCCGAGGTATGAATTCGAGACCCTATGACATGATGCTTAGGCGTAGGAGTAATGACCATCTGTAGAATGTTATCATGCTGGTAAAACTCGCAGCGTCCGTCACGTGACACGTCATTGCAACGATTGGGATGTATTACAGACAGCCAACAGGCATCGGTGATTGCTAGCCCTGGAAATGTTTTTATTGATGTGGATCGCAATAACTTTCCCGGTCCTAATAGTGGCTGACCGGGAGAGGGGCAGGCTGGAGTGGTTTATTTACCTTGGGCCGGCAGGGTAGGAGAAAGCGGAGGAGAGTTCTCAAGTACCCCCATGACTTAATTGCTCTGACTGTCGGTGATTTTGATTACGATGGTTGGAAGCATTGTCGCGTCACGCCTCAGAAATACCCACTGTTTGCTCTCGCATGACCATGGCCTCCTATATGCACGTTAAACACGGGTTTCACTACTAATTGCTTCTATGACTTCAAGATCAGGAAGACAAATTGTACTTTGAAGAATAAACACTTAAAATATCACACTGCGTTAAGCATTTTTATTATTATATGTAAACATTACGGAATATCGTATTGTGTGTTTTCGTGGCCACAGATTTCATTGCCGAATGTTGTAGCCAGTTTCCATATACGTTGTTAATTCCACTGTTCGGATTTACCAGTATTGTTGGGCCAATTAGACTGACCGACAATGCAGCTATTGTAGCAACACATTCTGTGTGTGCCATCTATTATTCTCAGGGTACATGCTATCTGGAAACACAATTCAGTAAAACAACATTGTATTTATATAGGAGTTAGTTAACCATCACACAACAAATATTCCTGCTTTTAGTGTTTTACAGTAATCTTTTTATTCCTGCTACATGTTTAGGTTGTATAAGACCATCAGGCAGTTATATATTTATATGTAGGAAGTAGGCCACGCCATAGCTCAAGCGGTTAGTCGCTGGCTTCCCACCGCGACGGCCCGGGTTCAATCCCGGGTCTGGTCAAGTGGGATTTGTGGTGGACAAAATGGCGCTGGGGTAAGTTTTCTCTTAGTACTTTGGTTTCCCCTGCCAATCTTTATTCCACCGAATTATCCATCATCATAATCACCCGGGGCAGGTACAATAGGCCAATCAGTGGCCACCGTGCCGAGTGGATCCAACTGGACTCCACCCCCCACTATTCGAATTTAAAGAAAAAAAATTATATATAGGAATACGTACAGTTATTGAATTACCGATATGGATCCATACCAGTGCAATACCTCGTATTATATAATAACAAATTTTTGCCTCAAGCTGGTATTACAATTAAAATAAGATAAAAAGTACGATAACAGATAAAATATATAAAAATATATTCCTTTTACCTATTAATGTCTTTTTTCATTGATCGACTGATTGATGCATTATTTATCAACTGTATTTCAACTACAGGGGTTGAAAGCCGAATTAAATTGGGAAATAATAAATGACAAGGAGTATGTGAGTTGGAAGTGGCTGTAGACAATTTCAATATACTCTCCTGGCTTTAGGTGACAATAACCATTCTGTTAAGCGCTTCTAAACACCCGACTTTCATTTCGAGAGAGTAGGAAACTTCACATAGTGCTTCAGATAGAATATCTGACAGTTTGACCGAGATTAGAACCCGGTACCCGTTTGAATACAAGTCTTCCACACTCATCCTATTATTCGGCACTGAAATATCCACCTGAGAAAGCGTAGTTAAGGAATCATTTAAATGAGAAGAAAAGTGCGAGTCGCAAAATGTGACTCCAGAAATAAACAGGCACTAAGACGAATTGGGATAAGACGCCGGTTGGTCCGTTGAAATTTTACTTGCTGGCTGCTTCGTGCAGGTTTCTTGCTTCGCTTAGTCTTAGACCATGACGATGGAGGCGACATGTTCCTTCGAAACGTCGGTCGACTTTCAACGGACTACACGACGTTACACGACTTCATAACCACCGCTGTGAGAACCTTAGATGCTACATGTATCATGTGGTCAGTTTTCAGAACCGTTTTACAGTGTCTGATTGGATGGTGGTCCTGGCGCTAGATTTGGCTGCAAATTCTGAACGTTTCTGTCTGTTCCACAGCGTGTCGCAGCAGCTGGGGAGCCTGCAGAGGGTGTCGCAGGCTTGGCAACAGTTCGAGGTACACCTCTCCGAACTGCAGGGCGCCCTTAGATCTGATCAGAACACGTTACGGATGTTGGACTCGGCGTTGCAAGGAGGCACGGTATCTGCTGATGTCGCCACATCTGTCAGAGATGTTGCCAAGGTCCTGTCGGAAAAGCAGGACAGCGACAATGATGACGTCTTGTGTCAGGTAAGTTGAAATATTCTTGGAAAAATTGAAATTAAATTTCTCCGTAGCTGATCTACTTGTTTTAAAGGGTACATTGTTTCGGGACGTGCTGTTCTTGGGTCGAATCCCGCTTGAGACTTGCTGTTTCGAATCTCCGTTTTCCGTTCTTATTTGTGTGACACACTACCCCCTTCTGATTTTTACATACACGCCTTTTTATCGGTTCAGGGGCTGCTGACTTTTACTTTGGATATTTTAATTTTCTTGCTGGGGTTTGCTGATATAGGCATGTCCACAAGTTACTTTTTCTCCCAAATAATCTGTTTATTAGAACAATATTTTTTAACATTCTCAGCAAGTTTCTTGTACTCTAACATTTATAGGCATTGAAATCACTGTCTGTCTGTTTGCCTGTCTATGGCTCTACAGCCCATGTGAACCTTGGACGGGGTATCAACCCTTCGCAAGGCCGCTACCTACACACACAACAACACAAACACAGAACAAACGCACACAGACATCCATGCTTCTTGTGGGATTCGAACCCACGATCCTAATGTTCGAGCGGGCTAAGACGGTTCATGCCTTAAACCGCGCGGCCACTGTGATCGTCCATTGAAATCACTGTGCCAATGGAAATATGTACTGGAATAATTTAGTTAGCTATTTAGTTGTCCGACCTTCTGAGTCTAGAAATTCTTGTGTTTGTATTTGAGAATGACTACAAATCTAATTAGGATCAGTGAAGGAATTAAGAACATGCTTTCTACCATTCATTTCAGAATCTTTCTCTTCCCATTTTCTACCAAAAAACCGTAGTTTAAAGTATACAGAACTGTAATTGGCACTCTTGGTTTGTATGTATATGAAACTTGTTCTCCCGCCCCGAGGCAAGAAATCAGTTGAGGGTGTTTAAGAATATGGCTCAAAGAGTATGTAACATGCATCAGACACGCATACAGAATGTTATTTATACATCTTAAGTGAATAGATAACTTAGGAAACTTCAGGGTAGATGAGAAGGCAATATTCAGATAAAGAACTCCGTGGCTTGTAGTCCGCAAGCGAACTATACCGACCGAGCAACCGCCTCTTGTCGGCGAAGTCAGTGCCAACTTTTGCGGATAGAGGGTGTCACGTGGTCAGCGCAACGGATCCCCACGGCCGTTAATATCGGTTTTCTAGAACAGATTTTAAATGAATACAGTGTGATATGTACTGGATTTATCTGGCTTAGGATAGTACCCAGTGGTGGGTTCTTACGAACTTAGTGGTGCTAGTTCCGTATATGATAATTTTTTTTTTACCAACTTGACGATTATTAGTTTCCCAGAAATGATGTTGCTTCACGGACTTAGCTGAAGATTGCGTCCATCCAGTAAGCAGTAGGTGAAACCGAAGATTAAGCACTGTATGCAGTCCATTGTATTCGTATCGTCTTTGTGTGTCCGTCACCAAACTGATTCAGGAGCGTACAGTGGTGAGACTTGTCAGATTGAAATACGGCTTTGACAAGTTAAAAGCCTCTTGAGAAGAAACAGTTGAGAATCGCGGAGCGGGATCGTGATTTCAGTCATGGCTGATTCGTGCGTTAGCTTTGAAATTGTTTACAACGTATTGAGTACCATCATCATCATCGTTATTCCTCTCGTTCTTTTCTTTACGTCTTTGGTCATTCACACTTGTGTTCCACATATGAAATTATGTGGGAAGGGACCTCCGGTATATGTTCCATGAAGATTCCTCAGTCGTGATGCAGAAATGTTTGTTCGTGTCCGCTAAGCCGCTCTTTGTGTAAACTTCCGATGTATGTGACTCATTTGTTTTCGTGTGTCTGTCATTTCTTGTGGCGAGTCGCGATAGCTCTGTTACTAAATTGACTTGCTACTGCTGACGATCGAACTTCGATTCCATTCCCAGATTTTGAACTCTTTTGTCTCTGCACCACATCCGTAACGCCTGTGAGGTCTACATACCCGCTTATGAAATATATTTCATTTGTTGAAGAAAGTTGTCTTCTGGGTTTAGGCACCGTGTATTCTTCGTTTTGGCCGACGTTTCGGAGGAACGTAGCGCCTCCATCTTCAGAGCAGTTGAATAGCTGCGGAGAGCAACGTGTCGATGGATAGCCTCCCCATAGAGGAATACTATGTAAGCAGTATTCAACTGCTCTGAAGATGGAGGCGCTACGTTCCTCCGAAACGTCGGCCAAAACGAAGAATACACGGTGCCTAAACCCAGAAGACAACTTTCTTCATTGTCATCGCCGTGAAAACCTCAAAACTTACATATTTCATTTGTTCTTTCCCCGGTGTTAAGGCGGCCAGAATGTGAATCTGACCACTCACTTGTCGGTTGCCGTGTTTGGAAATGTACGATTTACCTCTGCTCCGCCTATACGCTTCCCTGATGTGTTTCGGCAGATAGCTTTACTTGTTTACCTTTATCTTAAGTTGAGACGAAAATTGTTGTCGCCTATGGTGATTGTATTTATCCTGAGTAACTTATCGTAATTTATGTCTTGTCACCAGTGTCAATTTGTATGTATGCTGACGTACCATTACCACTACTTCGCTTTAAGCCTGTTCAAACTGTACGTAATTTTTTTTTTTTTTAAATTCACATAGTGGGGGGTGGAGTCCAGCTGGGTCCACTCGGCACGATGGCCACTGATTGGCCTATTGTAGCCTGCCCTGGGTGATTATGATGGTGCAGAATTTGGTGGAATAAAGATTGGCATGGGAAACCGAAGTACTTGGAGAAACCCCGCCCCAGCGCCACTTTTTCCACCACAAATCCCACTTGACCAGACCCGGGATGGAACCTGGGCCGCCGCGGTGGGAACCCAGCGACTAACCGCCTGAGCTGTGGCGCGGCCCACACTGTACGTAACGTCGCCGGCAGTGAGCGAACCATCAGCGGACCGACAGAATCTTCTCCGATATATTTCAACGAGTATGTTCACACCACACGTCACCGACAGGCACCGGCCAGCAGAGTTTGACGTGTCGCGTCCATAATTGTCTGTCGGTTGCAGAACACAGCCTGGTATGACGGCTCGATGCCGGTCAGATTTCTTTTTTCCGGTCAATGTGAATACTTGAACAAATTGTCGATACGCTGATGATCTGTTACCTGCCCGTGTCGTTACGTATAACTTTAAGCGCTAACACTGCTGACTAGCATTCAGGATATCCTCGATTCAAATCTTCGCCGACTGCCTTGACTGCGAAAATTCTTCACCCCTTGTAAATGAATGCCGGTGCGATCAATTGGAGTAGGCCACGACTTGTTCCTCCGAAGTAATTGGACGGAATTCTCCGTTCGTACATGACTCTCGATGGAGAATAAACGCCGTCGTAAATACAGTGGTGTTATATAGCCTAGTTTGAAGAAATTCACGGATCTTATTAACCCTTCAAAGGCCAGTGGTTCTATATGTATCACTGGTTTAACTGTTTTGGGTAAGGGGGGTTGAATGCTCTTGAAAATAACACGAGACACGTACGGTTTGCTGAAATATGTCATGGTATTCATGGAGATGTGAATTTAACCAGTGATATAGATATATAGTCTCCACAGACGCCTGTCAAGTGCCCACTTGGTTATCGTATTGGTTTCAGCTTATAACATTTAGTAACGATTTTGCTGAATTTGGCCTTATGGACATTTCCTCCATGCATATTTTGAGAAGGAAATGAACTTCTACATCGTCATGAACCAAGATGCAATGAAAGGTAAATAAAAAAAGGTAAAGCTATCCCTGTAAATGTCCTTGGAGGCCCATAGGATCGTGAGACATGTGTATTACCGGACAGAAGGGTGGAAATGCATGAGGATCGCACCAGGCTTCTGGAATATGACGCAATAGTGCGTAGAGCCTGGCACTTGATTGAAAGGCGGCCCCTATAATGCCATATTCATAGCATCGCCCGCGTCGGAATGCAAGAAATGACTTGAATATCTGACGTTTGTGAGGGACTACATGTTAGGCTCATAGATATGTAAGGAGTATGCTGTAGGCCTTGATTTATTGGTCTGCACCGCCGTCATAACCCCCCCCCCCNNCCCCCCCCCCCCCCATTGATGGAAGCATCCCTTCGTCTGGGTTACCTCTCAAGTGTAGAGGACCATGGAAATTTGAAAACTATTGCGGAAGTAAATACGGTTCTGACCGACGAAGTTTATGGAGCAGAATGTTTCTTGAGAAGCTGATAGTTCCCCAGTTACTTTTATGGAGCATGGCTTCTTGACAGGACTCGGCCGCTGGTCTCTGCCCTGAACTTAATGAATTGAGCCCATACTCAAACTTCTTTATGATCATTTTTACATGCCCCGCCATCTCAGCCTTCGTTTGATCACCTGAAAATGGATCTAAAGAAATTATACATTTGTTTTAATGGCTCGTAACGCAACCCGAGTACAGTTTAAAGTGTGAACATTCTAAATGGTATCAATTCGCATTGTTGCTTCTTCTGTGAACTACGATTGGGCCACCGGGGCTTTTCTCGAGGTTAGTACCCATCTTGCTGCAGAGTTCTAAAGGCTTCTGACGATGGTGATTAGCACAGGGACTGTTGTTCCCCTCCCCCCTACCGTCGTCCGGTATTCTAAAGGACACAGCGTTTCGCGAACTCAATCGGTTTCTGTTCTGAGGTGAAAGGGTGGAGAAGTCTGCTCTATTAAATCCCTAAGAATGAGCGAACTTGAGATTTTGACGAATTGATACGTTTTGAGCACCCCTGAATACGAAAAAGTGGTTTTTAGAATGCTGTCTATGTGTGCTACGCTAGCGCCAGAACTGTTGGACGGAGTTTATTTCCCGCGTTTAAGAGTTTATTCATCACAGGTCGATGCCCACTTATGAATAATCCAGCTCCCAAAATAGGAGCCCTTAACACGGCCCCCCTGTCCCCGAACATGGCATCAACGACTTTGGTTAAATTTCGGTAATATATGGAGACCATGATCCTTAATAAAACTGCGTGGGTGGTAAAAATGTAAAGCTATCCTTGCAACAG